GAGCTCAGACATGTAGTGCCCACCTCTGGTCCTGCAGCATGAGAGGGAAAGTGGACAGTGAGTCATGTTTTATTCTAGCCTCCTCTAAACTGTGGAAAGAAAAATTTCCGGACACCTAAAACTCAATCTGTTCTGCGTCTCAGAGCGGAGAGACGATTGTAATGGCAGTGGGAAATTTAGGCACGCATTGTAGTGAATCTCTGCTTTTTCTCAGCTTTACGCCCCTTTACTTTTTGCCCTATAGCTCGATCCAACTGAATGTTCGGCCATTTGAATCTCATGATCAGTGTGTGATATCACTCCTGTGCTTACTCTGCATGTTTTGGTGTGTCGGTGCACTTAACGCCAAATGTTTCCTGTTTGACAGCAACACCATGTGTGAGGTCATAAATCTGATTGCCACGGAAACAGAATACTGTGACACTCACACTTGCAGGAAGCACCCTGGATTAGCGAGGATTTATGGTTGGGCTTTAGGTAACGCAACCATCCCTTGTGAATGCATCCAGGAACCTCTTTCTCAAAATGACAGGCGTCTTTGCAAGTGGAAACAAAAGCGTCTTGCACCTTAAATAAATCCGTAAAAACGCAGAGCAGATTCAAATTATATTTCACTTAAAGGGCCTATATCCAAATAAATAAGGGGACTGAAATAAGGAGCAGATATTGGGGAAAATTGGGCCTGGTAGCGATTATTATCCTCATTGAGTTTTTCCATCCTGGTACCCTGGCTCAGACTCTTATGTCTGGGTCTTTTAAAGGGCCCGGAGAGGGTTGGGCAGGTATTATTTTCAACACTTCAGATGAAAAACCTGCAACGGCTCTCTGAGGCCTTACTAATACAGACCCCCTGCTGGGTTACAGCGAAATGAAAAGATGAAAAAAAGCCCAGTGACTGTGAAAACAGTATTAAAACAGAGGTGGAAATTGCAAATGTGACACTGAGATGCTGTGATGACGTCTTTGGAAAGGTAATAATTAACGTAGTCACCTTTTTTACGACGCAGAGGAAAGACAATTAAAAAAATTTGTATGATGACCGATTTGAAGTCAGGGCTTGGCTTCATTGGTTTAGCACATTAAAATATGGCAAGTTAGAGCGAAATGATCACGCCAAGGCAGTTTCAAGCCACCAGAACACATTGTTGTTGCAAAGGCACATTTCTCTCCATTTGCTCTTGTACTTGTGTAAGTTACGGTGTATGCAAGGTGAGGACATTACATATCTTACTTTGATAATCAATTTATCAATCTTTGTCTTTCAAGATGGGATTCAGAAGTAGAAAAAGTAAACAAATTATTAAATCAAATAAAAATCCCACCCTACGTTTGAGTAAGATCACCTATACTAGCGGCAGCAATGAAACTGCTATAAATATGAACTGAAATTAAAGTACTTTATGTTAAAAAATGCGTGATAAAAATATTCTCTAATTTACTTCATCCTCACAATTGAATGACTGACTTTGTTGCATGTTTGATGTATTACAGCAATGGTGCCTATAACCTCAGGGAAGAGACCTCTCCAGTGGGTCATAAGGTAAATCTGAGAAATTCAGAGATGTTTAACCAGAACAGAAATAAGAAGAAATGTATTTTTTTTAATTGTATCTATTCAGGACTCTAAAATGACGTAACTGCTGACCCCTTTCACATTGTCAAAAATAAATAAATAATAAATAATAATTTATAGGCGCTTTAAGGGGTTATAGGAAAAAAGGTTGGGAACCCTGCTATTCTGCAATATACAACATTCATTGGTTAACATTATTAATGGTTCAGTGATGTTTATTCTGACATTTTTGGCATAGTCAACATGTAATGCTGTGTCCCTCATTAACTTGATATACATCATATTTTTCATTACTTTGTGATAACTGTGGAGTCAGAAGTAGAGTTATAAATAATCAGGATTATGGAATGAACGTGGAAGTTGATGGATACATCAAATTGGATAACTACCCACCACAAAGGATAATACATTGCAAGTTATATTGTAAAGATACACTCTAGGATTTCTTTTAAATTAAAACATGTCCTCTACAATATACACAGCACACTACAAACAAGCAGCACTAATGCCACTCATTTTCCTCTCCCTCGCACTCATACGCACACACACACACACTTTGTTTCTCTCATTAAAGATGCCTCGGGGAGCGAATAAGTGCCAGGCAGTACCAGTCCACTGATGGCTGTTCTCGCCATGGCCTGACAAACAGGGATACCGGCTGGCAGCATGCCCCCTGCCCCTCCTCACGGCACTCGGGGCCGCAGGCAGCTGAGAGAAAGAGCGGCCAACGGATCAACAGTTGCTGTGACTTTGGTTGAGCGACTGGCCGGGCTGCTGCACGCCACCCAGCCCACATTCAGGGCACCTGACCCTGGGTAAACTGACAAATGCCTGGCCTTTAGGTGCGCCTGCAGATTGACGTGACCCTGACGTTGTTATGACCTCACTGCATCGGGAGCACACACATCCACACACTTACAGCCATGTTGAGGTTTCTTCAAGCACCTGACGAAGGGCATTGCTCTTACACGCACCCACACTTTTCAGACTGTTTGACTTATTGTCATGGAGATTCAGCAGCTCTAAGGAGGCTTGCACCCACTAAAGAGGGCTGTAATTTGCTCCTAATTAAACAGTTAAAATTATATAATTTGAGTAATTCTTCACAGCTGAATCACACAGTTGATCTGCAGTGCACGTCACAGGAAAAAACGCCTTAATTAGATTGCCGCCTTGTTAGCTTAAGCCAACAGCTTGATTAGATACAAACTGCCTCCACAGTTTGTATCCATAGACCGTTTTACGTGCTAGTGCTATATGCTTGTTGGAGCAGACACACACAATCATATATGGTACACAAGTACACATTATAGCCTCGTAATGTACAGTACATGCATCAGGCATATTTAACTCATCTTGACAAGGCTGTTAATTTCTCTGGAACCAGGGAAGGATTCCAACGGCTCTCTCTATCCACGTCCCCTCTTCCCTCCAAAATGCCCAGCTGTTGTCACAGTAGACAGCTGCTTTCATGGTAGAACAAATCTCAGCTGTTGGGGGGGGGGGGGGGGGGGGGGGGCTGCACAAGGGGGTGTTGGTGGATTTTGGGGTTTGTATTCCCTCAAACCAATGAGACACCACTCCCTACTCTGAGCCGAGTTGGGTGGAGTGTGGAAAAATGCTGACAGATAGCAGATTTAGGGACAGAAACCAGAGGCTACGGCTGTCTCTGTATTTACAACCAGAACTGCTCAGAAACCCTGAACCTGGGAGCTCTGGGGTCAAATAAGAGACGTCCCCGAAAAGTCTGTGAAAACTACAGTGTTTGGCAGTCGGACAATAACAGAGGAATAGCATATGCTTGTTGCTTTGATGTTGGATTCATCTTAAATCTTATTATTACATCAAAAGTTTACCACAATGAATATTTACCGCACGAGGATCAGTCGCCAAATCCAGTAAGATGAACATACTGTCAAATATCATCCCCTACACAGACACTCCCATAAACATGACTCACAAGCTGTTGATTGTTTCTTTCAGGATTAGCTTTAAATCTGTTTTATTTATATAATAAATGGAGCTGCCTCTACAAGCCTGGTATTATTCACGCCACACATTGTAGAGGTCAGAGGTAATACAAGCTCACTAAACTCTCCTGTTGTGGGGAGCAAACAAGGTCTCCGGGCTATGATCTTTGAGCATATTCTAATGGTCCCAGACAGCATGACACTTGATCAGAAAGGCAGTTGTATTATACTCAAATTTCATATTGCATAACAAACTAGATCACATGTGGGGGGGGGGCGACCAACAGCATTGTGTTACAGGCCACAGAGGATCCGGGTCTAACCAGAATATGCTGCTGTTCTTTGTTGCAAACGTAGACAATATGTGGACCATGCTACAGAGTGACATCCTCCATGATATAGAGAGACATTTTAATTATGCTGTGAATTATTGCGGGTGTGAGTCACTGAGAGGCCAGTGACCATCGTTTTGATTTTGACTGTTCTGGTCTGATCACAACCAGCCTGTTGATGGAGGCTGAACAAAGCTGCCTGTAAATATGCCGTTTATGATAAAGACTGACTGTATATGGAAATGATTTGCTTCTGGTATAGGTACATGTGATTTCACACAGGCTATCCTCCACCATACTTGACATAGTTTCTTTTATGTCTAAAATAGTGAGCTAATTTGGGAGTAGTTCATATTCAGCCCATTTCATTTTGCAATAATATGTTTTATTAATTGAAGGGACAAAGATGTTCAACACCGAGCCTGCCTTGAACTTTACACTGCTACCCTGGTTGATGTGTGACTTTCTATCTTATGTTCTTGTATCGCCCTCTTGTGGTGCATTATTGAAATCACATCCCCAGCGGGTTCCACAGGTGGCTGCTGCTTGTATTTTCCATTTCCACACGTTTTTTTCTCCACGTTATATAAACAAAGTTCATGCTGTTAGAAACATATTACGTTGATGGCTTACATTGACCACGTATTTGGCATAAAATTACCACTGTGAGTGAATGGAAGGTACCACCTAGAAATCTTACTTTCTGGTTATTAATAAGAAGTGAAAGCCATTAAATGAGTTGTAGAAAGTAAATCATGAATTTGCAAAAGTAGCGATTATAGGGCTTTCGTGATAATAATACATTTAAATATCCACATTTTCTCTCTAAATATATCACATGTGCCTTATTTTTAATATTTAGAACATACTGGTTTATACCATGAACCAAAATATTGCAAGAAAAAAACTCTTGACTCACACCAGATAAGGATATTAATGCAGCTGTTTTTCAGTGTCCTGTGCCCTCATAATCATCCATGATAGCCCTTCACTGGGCTAGTATACAGGTCATACAGTTCCTCGTCACAGATAACGTTAAGTCATGTGGTGAAAGCTGTCACAGTCTCGACAATTGACCCGTACATTCGTCATTGAGTACTACAGTGAGTTTATAATGTGAGGATGACGCACACATGGGAGACGTTTGCCTTCAGGGCTTTCTGCCAGAAAAGGGTTTCTTTGAACCCAAATCATGATATTTTCCTCAACCGAACAAAGTAGGTTTGTTGCCTAAAGCTAAAAACAAGACAAACTTCTCCCATGTGCGAGGCTGAAGGGCTGAGGCTCTTATTATTATTCTTCTTCAGGCGCCTTCGGGCTTCCGTGCAAAGTGCAGCGCCCCTGTGGTCTGATTATTGCGCGCTCAAGGTGGAGTTCTCGGCCACATCACATCTGATTGTTGTCGCCACAACGCACACTGATCGAAGCTCTTGTCCTGCAAGAGAGGGAGCAGGAGCAGGGAGCAGCTGGACAACAACGGAAGCGAGAGCGTGGTTTGTTTTGGATTTGTTTGTTTTTTGCATTTCGGGACAAGTCCACTCTTACTTTGAGTAGAGAAGGTGTCAGAACGTGCGTTCAACGCGCAGGTGAAAACAAATCTCATATTTCAAGTTCTTCGCTGCAGCAACTTTTTAAGCCCTTCGGAAGATTTGTTTAGTTTGCTTTAGTGAAGATTCATAAAGATAGTTTTTGAAATCTTGAGAAATGTCTCGCAAGAAGACTGCCAAAGGCAAAGCCGCGACGCGCAGCCCGTCTGCAGGCAGCCCCACCGGGAAAGGGACCGGGAAAGCTGCGAGGAGCAGCCCGAGCATTGTTCAGATGAACGGAGTGGTCCACCCCAGCAGACCCCCGGTCAGCAGCAGCAGCGAGTTTTATGACATCTCTTTCAAGGTAGGATGCCCGCCGCTGCTGCTGCTGCTGCTGCTGTTGATGATGATGATGTTGATGTTGATGATGATGTTGTTGTTGTTGTTGATGTTGTTGTTGTTGCTGCTGCTTAAAGCCTAAATAACAAACTACAACACACATAAAAGTGGGCTTCAATTTCTATAATTTTACAACCCAAAATAGCTGAGAAATAATGAAGGCGAGGTACAAATTTAAATAAATAATGTCACAGAGGTCACTAAAACTGTGAACAGAGTAGGCCTATACATGACACGTTATATTATCATATAGTTATCATGGACACTTTGGCTTTTGTTTACCTTTTTAGGTGGAAAGGAAGAAAAATACCACATAGTAGGCTAAATCTGTTTGTGGTCTTATTCTTTGCCGGTGTCGTTTTCCTGCTTAGCTTTCACAGGCTTTCGCTTTACAACCAGCTTTTTATTCATTATTAATCAGCAGCGAGCTCCTGACACCAGCTGTGTCAATAATCAATCGATCTTCGAAAGGGTGCACACTGCCATGCGTCGCGCAACTGGTTGAATGCGTCTTTGTCCCTGCAGCACACATCACTGGATTTGCATGAACAGTGAGGGATTTGTGTGCATCACCTAACCATAGTAGGGATATATCTCACCTCACAACACAAACACAGATTCACACCCACTGATTCTCAGTGTGTACTCCGAGCTTCAAGGGACTTGTGCCACCTATACTCCGTGTGTTTGAAGCAGCTGTCTGATGTGAGTGCATAATGTCTTTGCGTGGCCCCGTTTGCAGAACAATTGGGTTGATTGTGCCATCCAAGCCAAAGTGAACTGTAGATATTCTTATTTGATTGTTATTTGTGGGGTGCAAGGACTACCTTGTCTACAGTATATTGCCGCCAATCGCCACTTTCTTCAGTTTCAAACTGAAGCAAGATAGACTGCCAAATTCTTTCTAGATCTAGCTGTTATGTTTATTTTGCAAGACTGGAGGAAATCTATCTGCAGCTTGTAGGGTACCTTATTACAAAATGCTCTTTGCAAAGATTTACCTATACCTTATCCCTCTTTCTGGTTTCATTGTGCCATCATTTACTGTTTCCAATGAGTGCTAGTCTGCTATGAGTCAGTGAGAAAATGTATTGCATTTTATTTATAAAAACCTAAGTGCAGGGAGAGACCAGGTGCCTCCTACTGCACACGGCAAACATTTAGCTCATGTAGAGCTGCAGATATTATAAAAAAAGAATGTTGAAACAGGGAATATAATGAAAAACAGAGGGTGATTCTTCATGCTTCATACATATTACCCTTTTCCACATTTTGTATCTGACCCCGTCACATCCCTTCAGTCTCCTTCCTCTGTCTTTCATCTCCTCTCTGCTTCCTCTCTGCACCCAAGAGGCGCTTTTGATTTCCAGGGTCTAGGGCGTCACAGTCCCTCAGCTATAAGAAGATAACAGTAATCACATCAAACCTTTAACTTCATCACGGCTCGCAGTAAAAAGAGAAGCAGCAAAGCTTAAGTATGTCTGTTTTTTTTTATGTGCACATGCATGCATGCGTGCATGGATGAGCATTTAAGATGGTTATGTTCACACACTTACAGAAGGATCTCAGGACATCGACTAGCCATAATGAGCAGTCACATATACTCATTCACATACACCCTCTTCACTGGCCATGTACCGAAATACCGGGACAAATTTAGCTGAATGATTCAAATGTCCTGTTTTTATTTCCTGAGGACAAACAATTAGACACTGATATAAAATTAAACATACGAGCAAAAGCTCCCTCTTGTTTATGCTCCTACATGTGTTTTTTTTGTCGATCATGGCAGACAGTCTCAAGTTCTTTCCCTCACACCTCTGGTTGTACATTTTGTTGTGCATCTTAGTTAAGCCCTCCAGTCATTCCTGAGTTTTCCCCTCTTGTGTTCCTGTGCAGGTGATGCTGGTTGGAGACTCTGGTGTGGGGAAAACATGTCTACTGGTCCGTTTTAAAGACGGAGCTTTCCTGGCTGGCAGCTTCATCTCCACTGTGGGCATTGACTTTAGGGTGAGTTAAAATCAATGCAACTAAAATAACAACAAATCACCCATGTGCATGCATGCAAACACACTGTCAGGTTTAATAGCTTTTGTGAAACGGGGCCATATATGTACTTTTTTTTCAAATTCAGTGTCTTTGTATGTCCCAGAGCTATGAGTAGTTCCTGTGTTACAAGTCTCACAAGACAGGATATTGATTTCTTAAATTAGTTTGACATGCTTTAGTTTTTTGCTCTCCCTGGTTGATAACTGAGTCTCTCCTGTACCGGTTTTGTGGTTCCACATGGGCACTCCATCTTTCCTAATGATCACACTCAGGTGTCCAACAGACTGAGACAGGCGAACACTCAGGGCAACACTCTGACACGGGGAGCAAAAAAAGAGACAGTTGCCTCCCTCCGGCTCTAGAGTGGCATTATGTACAGGGTCGTGTCAGCTACAGGAACACCCCTGGGTGTTCGCTGAACTACTCCTTTCAATCACTTGGGCAATTTTATGTTGGAGGTAATTTATAGTTCTTACTCATTGTCTTTTCTAACAGGTCTATACGAGTTAAAGGCCTTACCCTGACTGGCCTGCAGAAAACCTTACTTTTATAAAATGTATTATATTCAGTTTTTGTTGGCAGTGTGTCGGAGAGGTGCTAAGAGCACTACTGATTTAGCCTTGTTCTCCTATATAACATTGTCAGACTCACAACGGTCAGTTTGAAAATACAATCAGAATTGATGCAGCAGAACCACAGATATTGTTTTAAAAACCTGATGCCAACATTACCCACAATGCAACTCGCCTGCCGACATTTGGTCAGATTTATGAGTTATGCTACTAGCACCTAATGTAGCCTCAAGCTGTTAGCCCCAATCAGAGATGAGGAGCGTGTTACAGAGGGGTGGTAAGCTCACTTCTTTCTAACTCCACACTCACAGATTTTTTTATTTTATTTTCAAACTTGTAATCTTCAACCCAAACTGACATTGCCTCGAATGACATCACTTGAGGCAATGTCAGTTTGTCATTAGGAGCCACAAAATGCTTTCTACAACTGTTTTCACTTTGCAGTAGTACTCCCCAATACCTGTAACATACTTTGGTGTGTAAAAGCGATGCAGTTCCTCTTTAATTAACCCCTCTGGTAACTGTGGAGTGCCATAGTTTGGTGGAGTAGCTGGTATTAAACTAACGGGAGCATTTCCCTGCTTACCCAGCTCACCACTTGGTTAGTACTCATCAGTTACTGACTTTTTCCTTCACCCTTCTCCTCCACCTGTGATGGTAAAGTAACTTATTTTGAAACGCTATTTAAAGTTCCAAAGTTAACACCATCACTTAAAGTGCAGCATTAGATCCTTTATACTCTTGGGAGGCAAAATGACTGGGCTGTGACTACGTGTGTGTGTGTGTGTGTGTGTGTGTGTGTGTTTAAACTAAAGTAACCAACCATTATATAGCCCTGTGAGTGGGTTGGATGAGCTTGTGGGTGAATGAGCGGTTGATTTATTTACTTATGTAACGTCTCTTATAACACGGTCTGTGGTCCCGATGTACATTTGGGCCCATCTAAGCAAAGCAGAAGCTTTCATCAGCGATCTTTGCCTGCTGCATTTACTACTAATGGAGGAAGAAGTACAAAACTCATGAAGTTTGGTGCTTAGTCGGCTCTTTTGTCATACTGACTTGTTATTTAATTGCGCAGAGCTGTATGACATAAATTATTTAATTATCGTCTCATTCTCTTCTGCATGGCTTCCTGTTCAATGGTTCAGTTTTTCAGTGCAACTGAAATAGTCCTCGACTCATGAGGCTCCTTTCTCAGTCAATCTGTAGAGTTAATGGAATATTTTTATTTATCTGGTTAACTGATTTAGACATGTCATGAATGCAAACATGTTTAGTTTATCTTAATGAGTTTGCACGAATCCTCTAAGTCTAAACAGTGTGTTTGAGAAGTTGACATACATGGAGACAGGAAGTGATGTTTTTGATCCCTTTTAGTTGGTGGGAAAGTCGGGCAATTTGCTTCGTGTGGGGATTTGATCCGGTTCCCACTTCAAAGCATCAAGAAGCTGTCCCCCCCCCCCCCCCTTGTTTATTGTAGCCTCATCTCGTTTAAGCCTCAGCATGTTCTCAGGATTACAGAGCTGCACTTGTGCCTTGAGAGGCTTAACATACGCAGTCATAATAAGAAATGCAATTCCACTAAAATTGCATTTGATCATAAAATCTCACTATGTTATTATAAGGGCCATAAATTCATAGACGGAGTGAAAAACAAAACGGTACCTAATCATATTAATTTTATGCAGATCTCACCTTTTTACAGTCTGTTTATTGGTATCAGGCTGATTTATAATTATTGCTAAACACTAATGGGAAAGAGGACTGATTCTATATGGCCCTGTGGCATATTTATTGCAATGACCTACAGATCAAATCAGGGTTATTGGATTGTAATTTCACCTCTATAGCTCCCTCAAGAAGCATTGCTTATACTGCAATTATGATTATCACAAAGAATGTGTGGTTCTAATAAATCTCACTCTGTTGCATGTTCAAAGGATTATTGTAACCTTTTCATATGTTTAGGTCAATTTTCACAATCTTTTGTTCTTGGTTTGTTATATTTTTGTTATATCAGGAGGTCGTAAGCAAGTAGTGAAAGGCGTCCGGTCACTGTAAAGGACTCAAAATGTAGCTTTGAAGTGTTCCTCATGCTCTGGCTTGCTGTTACATTTTTAGGTGAAATATGGATTTGTCACATGCATGGACACCCAAACATAAAAATCACACTTCAATGTCCTGAGGACATTTCCCAATTTATTTTTGCACTATAACACTTCTGATGACCTTAGCCTCTTTTAGGCTCAAGCTCTGTAGTCTCTTTTATGAAATAATTCAGGAGCAGCAGGATTTTATAACCAATTATCTATTTGAAGTCTCCTCTTGTCGTTTTTACAGAGGTCTGGCTCTGCAGGGCTGTGATGAACAGATTAATTTCTCTAACAAGGATAAAAAAGACACGCAGCCTAAAAACAAACTGCACATTTACTGGTTGACTGGATTTTTCTTTTATTAATACACTTAGTTATTTAATTTATTTTAGGAGCTAATTAGATATTAGAGACATTAAACTCATTGATATACAATAACCAATGTCATTATGAATTGCATTTGGCATTTATATATAAAAAGTTATCAAAATAAGGGAAGTGAGTCTTTGTTTTTTTTCATACAATTTTTGTACATATTCAAATATATTAGCGTGAGCTTTGTGTTGGTATCACACAGTAGTTAAAAACAGTCATTTTAAATCCATTAGTTTTCCTCCTAGTCAGACAGGAGGAGGGAACCATAACGCTGTTTTTTTTTTTTTTCTTTGAGTCCAGAATCATTATGAAGACACATTGTGTTCATCAATATTCAATATTTTTCCTACTGTCGAAAAATCCTGTGAAAAGATTAAAACAAACGATGTATTAGTCATTTGCCCAACTTCCCCACCCACCCTGTCTCTATCACTCAGCTCGATAGCACAGAGAAGTAAGCATTTGGCTACATAGAGCATTATTCTCAGTTGGATCAATTCATTGCTGGGTTTGATATTTTCTTATGGGATTTGTTGAAAAAATTATAGAACCAGACCTACTCTTTACCAAGTACTGTGTGAGTACTACAGTCTATGGGTGGAACTGTCCCTGGTGCTGAACTCCTCCTGACTGGGGTTCAACTAAATCTACGTGATAGGTACATGGCTATCAAGGCTGTCACCAAACACTTAAGCCATCTTAATATGAGAAAATGTAAAAGAAGGAAATCATATCGGGGAGAAGCAGGAATGAAAGATGCTCATAGAGGGGAAGCCAATTAACAGTATTTCTCCAACTGGCCTTCCTCTCATTTCAGATGAGGTGGAAAAAAAACAACCTTTCTTTCTCTCTCCATTTTCGCAATCTACCTCGCCTCATGACACCAGAGAGAAGTCATTTTTCAATCCCTCAGCTGACGTAAATGCAATGGTGGGGAGAAGAGCAGCACTTCTCACCTCTACTGAGAGACAAGGGAGCTGCTCCCAGCTGTCAGTTATGTCTACTGCGCCCCGAGTGACAGGCCTCTTATGCAACCACAGATTTCACCTCTCTGCGCCTTTTAAAAAAAAAACATGGCTGGTTTGACTCGGGAAGTTGAAGTCAGAGTTTGAATGATGCCTGGTGATAGATCATCAAACTTTGGGCTTTTCAGCCTCTAATGGTGACAATTTCAGTCTGTTGGTTTGGTCCAACACTTTGTGCTATACATCTCAACAACTATTGGGTGTATTGCCATGATTGTTTTTATTCAGACATGTATGGTCCCCAGAGGATGAATACCCCTGACCCCGATCCTTCGACTCCGCCTCTAGTACCACCAGCATATCACTGTTGTTGCTTATTCTGTAAAATGTTTCAACATCTACAAGATGGATTGGCGCAACGTTTTGTAAAGACATTCGTGTTTCGCAGATGATGCTTTGTAATGACTTTTACTCTAGTGCTATCGTAATGCTTCAGTTATACTTTTCGTAAGGGCGGTCACACGGACTTGAGCTGACGTGGAATCGTGACATGGAAACGTTTGGATCCTTTATACGCGCAGAAAACATTCTCAAAGCTCCTTAAAGTTCTCCCCCTTTCTCCAGTATGAATGGCGCTTTAGGTTGGATATTTGTGGTTTTGAGTGATGCGTCTCTCAAATAAAAAGCCTCTCATCTTCAGTCCTTGTTTGCATCTTGTTTGGTTTATTTGCGTAACACTCTGATTTATCTTCAAAATGGTTTCTATCCTCTCGGCTGCGACCCAAGGTTTTCAAAAGTCCTTCATTGTACTCGTGGCTAAGGTAATGTGCATTACTCAACCTTCTTATTAGTGTCAGTTTAGCTTTTCTTTTCTCTCTTTGTGTCATTCTGGACCTTAAGTACTTGGACCGTGTCTGTGAATTTATATGACGCCCTTTCTGAATAAGATGCATGAC